GCCCGGGGCTGGTCCCTGCCCTCCCACCCCGACTCCTCTAGCAGGAACAAACATCCCGCGGGCAGGAAAACAGCCTGGGGAAGGCAGGGACCCAGAGAGCGGGCGGGGATTTTATTTGCTGATGGCAGGGTTTTTTTCCCAGCTTTAACCGCAGACCCACTTATCAGCATATCGCTCCCTCAAGCAAATACATTTTAGTCCAATATAACACTTCACCCTGATTAAATATTGCTGGGATGGGGACCCCGGTGGTGCCAAGGGCGGTATGTTAATGTGCAGCTGACAGATCAGAAGGTTGGGGGGTTTATTTTATTTTTTTACCTTTTTTTTTTTTTTCCAGTTGAATGAAACTTCAAGCTCTTTCTTCTGCTAATGGGATTTTCAGAGGCACACAAAGTGCTGATGGCTACGGCTTTGTACCGACCCTCCTTTGAGCCGAGAGGCCGACAAAGGGAAACTCTTCAATTAGCAAAAGCAGAAGGTGCTTTATTGAATGCCACTCGCTGCTGCCGCACAGGCAGCGAAGGGGCAAAGGGGCTTTGGGAAGCACCAGAGACCACGCTGGTCCTCGGCCAGCAGCTGAGGCGAGGAGGAGGAGGCAAACGCTTGGGGCGAGGGGCAGCGGTGGCACTGCCACTGCCTCTAGCCCCGGTGCTGAGCTGAGCCCACAGTCCACGTTGCACGAGATAAATACTCACTGGGATTGGAGCCGGCCCTGGGGGGGTCCTGCCCCCTCCTCACGCCGAGCAGGTGGGGAGCGCAGGGCAGATGTTTAAAAACAATGAAAAATGGGGGTCACACACACAGAGCAGGTAATCAGCCCATCCGCTCCATCCCATGGGTGCTAGAGAAAGAGTCCCTGCTTTTCAGGGTCACCTGCTCGCCCCAGCTTATTCTTAAAAATCCACATTTTTACCATCAACTTGGTCAAGACAGACAGCCAAAGTGTTCACTGATTCTTTTCAATTAGAAACATATATTTCTGCCACACAGAAATACCCGGTAAGACTTCTGTTGTAACCTGACTCTTAAAATTCGTAAAATAAAAAGGACCAAAAAAAAGGAAAATATCCAGAAGTCGCTCACTTGTTACGAACAGGAGCCTTTGCACAGAGCAAGAGCCCTCAGCCCCCCCTCCCACCGTGAGCAATCCCCATGCTACCTGCCTGCGCTTGGCAGAGCCCGACCTTTTGTAATTAAGAGGCAAGAGCCCCAGATTCAATTAGCCAGCTCTACCCAGCTTAATATAATCAAAATAGAAAGATATTGCATTATGCTTGCTATGATTTGGTTGCAGAAGTTTGGATCAAATTCACCAGCAAGTGAATTAAATGGGAAGCTGTTGCTCGAGGGCAGCGGCAACCAAGAGGACGGCAGGCACGATGCTCGGTCCATCAGCAGCCCGGGCTCTCGCCGCTGAGCCGGAGCACGCACACCACTCCCGGCGTGCTCTTTCGCTTGGGGATGGGGAGCGCGGGCACCGCGGTGACACAGCATCACCCGTCCCCAGAGATGGTGGTCCGTTCCCTGGAGGGGGCCAGGCACCGCTGCCAGCAGCTGAGCCGGGTACGGAAGGCAGCGTTTGGTGATGTTTTACAGGGACAGATGCTCCTCCGGGTGATTACTATTTATTTCTTCCCTTGGTGCCCTGCTGCTTCCACTGTTCTCCCTCTCCTCCTTCCCTGCACCCCCCTCTCCTCTCCAGCTCCTTCCCTGACCCCCTCCTCCAGCTCTCCCTAAGCAGTGCCGGTGCTCCAGAAAAGCAGCGGCTCCAAGGCAACATGCTGCTGTCCTGCCACGGCCAGGAGATGGGGTGGGACCCCTCAAAAGCACAGCCGGCATGATGGGGAGCAGGGCTCCCTGGACGAGGTGGGGACCAATGCCCGGGCAGCCCTGCAGCACCGGGTGCTGCAAGCTCGTATCCTGCAATGAAACCCAACCATAGAAATGCATTGAACTGCCTGGGTCCGGCCAGGTAACGCTCCGGCTCTGCTCTGCTGCCTGCTTTCTGGGGCAAGGAGAGAAGAAATCGTTCAGACCCATGGGCCGTGGCCATGGCTGCGATCGGGTCCCCCATCACCACCCGCAGTCATTTCTTTTGTGCCAGGCAAAGCCTTTGCTCGCCGGGACAGCGGCTGGTATTTGACAAATGTGCCGAAGGCGCTGGCGAGGCCTGGAAATTTTTGTGCAAATGTGATGTGAAAATTGGGTTGAAATGACAGCCTTCCCCTGCAGTGTCACTGAGTCCCACCAGCTTAGGAGTGACACTGGGATAAGCTGCAGACGTTAATGAGAGCGGAGTTTTAGGCTTCATTCATATCATCAATTCCAGAAATAGCCCCGTTGACAGGAGCATAATGGGACTTCCAGGGTCTGGCCTTTGGGGGCAGGGGGAGGAGGCAGGGACTAAAATCCTAAAACATTAATTCAGGCCGTTTGCAAGGGAAGTTAAAAGGCCTCAGAATTAATGTGCCTTACGGATAGAAATAATAACCCCTTCCCAGCTTCGCCTCCGACTGCACCAGACCAACAGGAAAAGGCTCCTAATGTCATGCCCAGTTGAAAGGTTACAGGATTCCCATCACAATCCTGGATGTTTAATTTGTTGTGGGGTTTTTTTTTCCTACCATATTCCTTCAAAAGCAAAACCAGCACCCATCTTCTGCTTTTAGCATTTGCAGGAAGCATTTGCACCCCCTTGGATGCTGCGTGCC